CGGGGGCGGGGGCGGGGCAGGCAGTGAGTGCGGGTGGCTTCCTTTTTCAGAGCTAGTCCGGACCCAGTCACTGAGCGAGGAGGGAGCGCTTCGGTAGCTGTGCGCGTGTACGAATTCACGTGTAAAATAATATCCCGCATCGAGTACAGAGACCTGAAGGGAGGTCACATTAGGATAGGATTACAGGGCAAAATGCCTCTTGGCCCCCCGAGCGTCCCGTCGTGCCCCTGGGGACCGTCCCACCCCCGGTGGGGGGAGGGGCGGCGCCTTAATTAGAGCACCTCTGAGAGCCACTCGATTGAATGTATTTAGATCAACACCCCCTGGGGTGAGGGCAGGGGCATGCCCCCCACACACCCCTTCCCTCCCCCTCCTCTTCCCCCAGGGCAGACTTACCAGCTGGAGGCAGCTCCACGCTGCCGGGCTCTGCCGCTCGCTGCCCGAGTGCCCACCTCAGCCAAAACACGGTGGCATTTGTTGGCCCCATCGGGCCGATACCTGATACAGCCAGTTTTCTTTATGTTGGTACGGATCCGATATCGGACCAGCGCACCTCTAGTTTTGGGATGATTCCAGGAGGGGTTTGCCCCACGATCCCAGCAGAAGGGCAGCTCCTAATTGGTAGCAGTGTAAATACAGTACACGCCGAAGGAGAGTAAGTTGGAGCCTGGCTTGGTGAAAGTGCACTTTGGACCAGGCAAGACTCTAGTCACAGATGTGCAGGAGAGGCCCCCGGTGCCACAGAGCCATGGTGCGGGGTGGCCCAAGGAGGATTTCCAGCCATAATCCCAGCCCAAATGCCAGTTCCTTATTTGAGCCATTATACGTAGCACAGTGGCTGGGGTGCTGTCAGTTGGCAGCCTGGCACGGCCAAGCTGTACTTGGGGCCGGGCGAGTCTCTGGTCAGAGATGTCCGAGGGGGGTCGGACTCGATGATCTATTGAGGTCCCTTCCGACCCTAACATCTATGAATCTATGTCCAGGAGAGTCCCCCCGTGCCATGCAGACATGGTGTTAGGTGGCCCAGAAAGGATTTCAGTCTGTAATCTCAGCCCAAATGCCAGCTCCTTATTCGAGCCCATATACTTAGTACTGTGGGCATGGGGCGCTGCCAGTTGGCAGCTTGGGATGAACAAACCACGTTTTGGGCTGGGCAAGACTCTGGGCAGCGGTGTCCAGGAGAGTCCCCCAGTGCCACAGAGGCACGTGGGGTGGCCCAAAAAGGATTTCCAGACATAATCCGAGCCTAAAACCAGTTCCTTATTTGAGCCCATAGATTTACTAGTGTCTGGGGTGGGGGTGTACGCTGGCAGCCTGGCACTACCACACTGTGTTTTGGGCTGGGCAGAACTCCGGGCAGAGATGTCCGGGAGAGTCCTGTGGTGGTACACAGGCATGGTGTCAGGTGGCCCAGAAAGGATTTCAATCTGTAATCTCAGCCGAAATGCCAGTTCCTTATTCAAGCATATACACTTAGCACAGTGGGAATGGGGGGCCGCCAGTTGGCAGCCTGGCACAGCCAAACTGTACTTTGGGCCAGGCAAGTTTCTGGTCGCAGATGTCCAGGAGAGTCCCCTGGTGCCACAGAGGCATGGTGTGGGGTGTCCCAAGACAGGTTTGCAACCATAATCCCAGCCCAAGAGCCAGTTCCTTACTCAAACCTATATATTCAGTACCGTGGCTAGGGGAGCTGTCAGTTGGCATCCTGGCAGGGCCAAACCATGAGTCGGGCCAGGCAGGCTCTGCTCAGGGATGTCTGGGGGTGTCCACCGGTGCCAGAGTCATGGTGTGGCGTGGCCCAAGAAGAGTTTCCATCTTCAATCCTAGCCCAAAACCAGTTCCTTATTCAAGCCATTATAATAGTACAGTGGTTTGGGGGGCTGTCAATTGGCACCATGGCACGAGAGGTGTCTAGGAGAGTCCCCCGGGAGCACAGAGGTGCGCTAGGGGGGGCCCAAGAAGGATTTCTAGCCATACTCCCAGCCCCAAATCCAGTTCCTTATTCGGGCCCATATACTTAGCACAGTGGCTGGGGTGCTGTCAGTTGATAGCCTGGCACAGCCAAGCTGCATTTTGGGCCAGTCAAGACTGGTCAGGAGTGTCCAGGAGAGTCCTCCGTTGGCACACAGGCTTGGTATCCGGTGGCCCAAGAAAAGATTTCCAACCATAAACTCGGCCAAAACCAGTTCCTAATTCTAGCCCATACATGTAGTACCGTGGGCATGGCGGGGGGACTGTTAGTTGGCAGCCTGGCATGCACAAACTGCGCTTTAGGCCAGGCAAGACTAGGCCTAGCCAGAGATGTCCAGGAGAGTCCCTCACTGCCACAGAGGCATGATACAGGGTGGCCCAAAACGGATTTCCAGCCATAATCTCAGACCAAAAGCCAGTTCCTTATTCAAACCATTATACTTAGTACAGTGGGCATGGGGGGCTGCCAGTTAGCAGCCTGGCACAAACCAACTGCACTCTGGCCAAGGCAAGCCTCTGATCAGAGGTGTCCAGGAGAGTCCCCCGGTGCCACAGGGGTATTGCTGTCGGGTGGCCCAAAATGGATTTCCAGCCATAATCCCAGCCCAAAAGCCAGTTCCTTATTCAAGGAACTGAAGTATTGTGCAAGGGGCATGGGAGCCGTCAGTTGGCAGCCTGGCACGGCCAAACCGTGCTTTGGGCTGGGCAGGACTGTGGTCAGGGTCTTTGGGACAGTCCCCCAGTGGCACTGACAGGAAGTTTGGGGTGGCCAAGAGGTATTTTGCCCCATAATCCCATCCTAATCTGACCTCTCTTTAGGTCTCTGTACTTGGTGTGGGATAATATTTTACATATTAAATATGCATAGCTAATGAAATTCTCCCGTTAGGATGTGTCATTCACGAATAACAAGCTTTTACTGGATCTAGATTAGCTTTGCAAAAGGAACCAGGAACTGGGAATAAGCAACCAAATTCAGCCTCATGGGGAGGGGAGGTGCAGGGTAGGGCAGGGGTCTGACCCCCAGGTCGGGGTGGGAGAGGGGCGGGGGCTGGCAGTACCCCCCAGGGCCTGTGTCTGGCATGCTGTGAGCTGGCCTGGCTCTTGCAGGTGCCTGCCCCACTGACTTCCCTGGGTTGGGGCCCCCCTTCGACAGGATGGGTGGCCTGACCTCAAGCACTGGTGGCTGCTGGCCGCGGCCCTGTGTTGGCATGGGGGTGTGTTGGGTTGGGGAGATGGTGTCTGGAATGGACCCGCTCTCATGGAGGCGCCGTCTTCATTTGTGTCGGTTCCTTTCAGTCGTCCCCACCGGCCCTGAGCTGCGTCTGACTGGTGGCCCCCCACGGTTCAGCCCACGAGGATGTTCCACGGGATCCCCGCTCCTGGGATGGGAGGTGAGTCTGTGTGTCCAGGACACCCCTGAATGCGCTCTAGCGCCAGCTTGGACCTCCCTGCTCCCTGGATGGCAAGGGCAGGTGGAGGTGCCCTGCTGCCTTGCAGTGACCTGCCAGGGAGGGGTGATGGTCTCTGCATTGGCACACACCTCTCTGCAACTGGTGGGAATCACAGAGAACGAGAGCTGGAAGGGATCTCAGGGGGTCACATCTAGTCCAACCCCTGCTCAAAGCAGGATCAGCCCCAAC